CAGCTTATGACATAATCAGCCTTATGTGGTAGAACATACACAAGAGGAATTCTGCTGGTGAGTTCAAAAAGACTATGCGGGTGGGGGCGGAGGTAACCAAAAGAAGGAATTTGATGGGTAGAGTGTGAAATAAGAGGTCTGAACACGCATGAAGCTGTTTCGTTGTCTCCAGAGTTCAAAATAAGAATGGGAAGAAGAGGTTAAATAATCAGTGGGACTTTTCCACTTCTCTCTGGCAAGGCTTTATTGTATTTACCTACCTTGTGGCAAATCAATACCAAGTTCTTAATTGTTAAACAACATTAATTATTAAACGTTCACACACATCCCAACTTAAGTTTAACTCAGTTAGGTTTTTATACTCACTAGCAGTTAACAGAGTCAGGGGCTGGGAGTTTGATTCCTCACTGTACCTCCTGGGAGAAGAGAAGAGAAGAGCCTGCCTATGTATATCCTCAGGCAAGCTATACAGTCCCAAAGAGCCCCTGATGAAGAGAAGGATAAGCCACTTCTGAATATTCTGTACCCAGAAAAACCTGGAAAGGGCTGCTGTAAGTCAGAATCACTTTGCCACAATGTAACTATTTTTAACAGCTAACTAAGCTGTTAACTGTTTCCTGCTAATGTTCCCACGTCTCACTTTTCCTGTCTAGACACAGAAGACAAACCACAAAGAAAAGCATGTAGGAAGGAATATGAAGAACTAGCACTAAATTAATGATGGGTAAAGACTGATACAAAGGACAAGCTCACATCATGCATTTTTTGAAGATAGGTAGTATAAGCCAGGTGTCTCCAAACTTTTGACACGGAGGGCCACACCATATATTGGTAATATTTTCAAAGGCCAAAGGAACACACACACGGTACACGTGCACACCAATATATTGGCAATATTTTCAAAGGCCGAAGGAACACACACACGGTACACGTGCACACGGGCACTCCCACCCGCACACACTCCCAACTACATGCACATGCTCCCAACCGCTCACGTGCACATAGGCACACACAGATGGACTGGATAAAAAGGCCAGGCCGGCCAGATGTGGCCCGTGGGCCATACTTTGGAGACCCCTGATCTAAACTGACAGCATGTACATATAACTAAACAATCATAATTTAGAACATGCATAATATTCTTCCTCATCTGAATTTCTCCCCATATTTGTGTGCAGAGGATGGGGTCCAGGTTGCTTTATCAATATATTAATAGTCCACTATTTTTCCATTATTGACTTCTAGACTTCTTTCACAGTTCCATGCAGGTACATTTTGCCTCCATTTTTAATCTGTGCTTTTCATTTTTCACAGATTACTGAAGCACATCAGTTTATGTATGCATTAACTAAAAGAGCAAAAAGACATCAAGAAACAATTGCTTGCTGTCCCGTGATTTAAATCTCTCTGCATATGCACTGGTACACATCGCTAGACTGTCAGGGATGGGATGCAAAATTAAAAGTAATGGCAAACAACTGAGCCAGCTCTTTCATAAATTCTCGGCATAAAAACATAAGGAAATTGGGAGTGGAACATGAAGCAAAATGAACCCACAGAGTAATACCAGAATGGAAAGTGATTCAGTCCCAGTGAATCAGGCAGTCACTGAACCTCTCTGATTATAGTCAAACTTTTAAAAAGAATGTATCTACTGCTTAGGGCACAACTGTTCAGGCTCCTTTTTATGGAGTCAAGGTGTATGAGGAGATTTGGTTCCAGCAGGAGCCACACAATCTGGATGACAGCAGAGGTTTTATACCAATCTGCACAGGGCCCAAATGGAATGGAGCTCAGAGACATTCTTTTTCTCCATTCATGTTAAGTATTTATTTATGCATATTTTCAAAGATGTAATATATAATAAAATATCAATGGACAGAATCCTACTAGAATTCACATTAAGGTGTTTATCATCATTATGATCATCTATGAAGTGAAGCTCAAAGGGACCCTAAGGATCATCAAGACAAGCCCCTGTCAAGGGGGCACAGTGGGGAATCGAACCCTCAACCTTTGGCTCCGCAGCCAGATTCCTAGACCACTGAACTATCCAGCACAACTCACTGTGGCTAGTTGTGGCTGAGAAAATTCTGCTGTGTGCCTCAATCCCATTCTTGGTCCCCTGTACAACTTGTGCCCTGGCACCGTGTCAATCAGCCATGACGAGTTACACAAACACCCACAGGATTCTGAGCAGTATTTATGCTCTCCTTGAAATAAGGGATAGGTTAAACTGCAAACAGAAGGCATGCAAAAATCAGTATGCTTTCAGTGGCAGAGTATTCCATATAGTGAGTACCTTGAGTACTAAATGCTCTGCGCTAGATGACGGCAGAGCAGTCGACCTCACAGCTCTTTTTCCAATTCCTACCTTTCCAGTTCCTACCTCTAGTGAGGTCAGTGTGTAAAATCAGTCAGAACAGCATCTCAGAATCTAGCAAATAATTTGTATCTGAAACTAGACCACAACAAACTATTGTTCACTAAATATCTACATATTTAATTCTAGCATATAAATAGGATTTGGTATGTATGCCTCAAAGGATAATTTAGTTCAAAGCTCATATTTTCAATCCTATTTTAAGGTATTAAAAGGTATGTCTCCCTCTCGCCCCATATTCACAAGATGAGGATTTTTAAAAGCACTATTAAGGTTCCTTCATCTGAATAAGGCAAGTGACTTGGAAATAACCGGAAAACCAGAAATTACACAGAAACTCTATTCTGACTCAGACTTTATTGCAAAGTTGGATGTTTAATTTAAAGCTGGAGAATCAGGGACTTGACAGTACCGCAACAGTTAGTACTATTACATCAAATAACTAAAGAGCTTCCTTGAAACCTGATCAGCCATAATCCTGAAGTAGTTTGAGACCAGCAGGGAACAACTTGAAGTTGTTTGAGAACAGTAGCAGGGAAGAGCAGAGATATGCTGTAATCGAACTGATTTACCAGAAAATCCAAAGATACCACCATTTACATGTACAGCCTTTCAGTGCTTCAGAATAGTACGTCAAGACATTTCCTAAGAATGTTTGCCACACACTCTCCTAAAGTAGGAGAGTGTGTGGCAAACATTCTCGTGAAGCATGGGAAAAATCTGGATAGGATAGCATGCAGAGCAGATGCAGTACTGGGTGTTCCTTTTTCTCCATTGCCTTTCTTCATACAAGTACAAAAGAGCAGCTTGGTGCTACTTGTTAAAACTAGAACCTTAAATGCCCTTGGAATGCTGATATCAATCATCTACATCCAGTCCCAGGACCACTGTACTGAAATTCCCCAAGGAGCTCATTTCTTTTTCCAAACTGTACCCTTGGGAACACTTGTATATGATAAAGCACCATAGTTCCCAGGGCATTTGAGCCTCCAGTTTTAAAGTGGGCAACAGCACGGCTGCCAAGTTGTGTCCTCACCATTCGTGATATGAAAGGAGAAAAGAAACCACCAATGAGCTGCTTCCTTTCATAATACATCCCCCCCATCCTCCCCACTCCCCAAAATAGAAAACTATTGGGAGTTTCTCAGGCCCTCAGTGAAAGTTATGAGAATTTCAGCCTCTCATTTTCACTGGAGACAAAATGGGAGGTGGGTAGGAAGACTGATCTGCCCAGCCCTACTTGTCTTTAAAATTATTTATTTCACAAACTTGTCTACTGCCCAGTTAGTGATAGGCACTACTCTTGGGGGGGTTACATCAAAAGAAATACAGACAGAACAATCTAATATAACAAAATAAAGCAATTTGTCAAGGTAAAAACAAGTAATGAAATTAATCAAAATTAACCAATAGATTTAAACAAAAAGCCAAGCAATCCAAGTGAGGGCAAGACAGGCAGGCTAGGTATAATGAAATAAATAAAACAGGATGCCCTTTAAGTAGTGGTTCCCAGCCTTTTTCAAGTCATGACCCCTTTTATAATAGCCAAGTAAGCTATGAGACCCCATCACCACGTTTGCATAAAAAGACATTTTAATGGGGCAAAGCCATCCCTTCTCTGAAAGCAGAGGCTTTTTTTTCTCTCTCAAAGGGTCAATTTCTCATACACACATACATGCACACTAACTTTACTATCCTATTCTGAAAGGTCAAGGAAGAAATAATTTACGAAGGGCTACAACACATACAAGGTGACCCACAACTCCCCAGAAAACACTTCGCAACTCCCTTGGGGGTCAGAACCCCCAGGTTGGGAAACACTGCCTTAAAGGCTTCTGTGAATGTCCTTGTTTTGAACATCCTTTCAAAGGCTGAGAAAGGATGAGGCCAGGTATACTAGGAGACAATTCCCTAGGGATGGTGGCACAACCAAGAAGGCATGGTTTCTAGCAGATGTTTTCCTGGCCTCTCTCAGTGTAACAGCATGGCCTGTGAGGACTGGGTGGTGCAGGCTGATGTTCTTAGGGAAAGACACTCGAACAAGTAGCAAGGTCCCAAACCACGGAAGGTCCCAAACCAAGTAAGAACCAAAAACTTCAGCTGTCCTGTACATCAAGACCCTCAGAGACAGTTCTTGAAATGCTGGCATCATCTATGCTGGCTGTAGAAGAAAAGGTCCTAGTATCCACCTATGTTGTGACACCCACAACAAAAACACACTGATCACCATAATCACCCATCTCCTGAAAAGGACAAAGATACTCAACTCCCAAACAAACTGCGCCAGAGCACAGAGTGTTACTCCTGTCCTCTGAAGATGCCGGCCAGAGAGACTGGCGAAACGTTAGGAAGAACAACATCCAGAACACGGCCAAAGAGCCCAAAAAACCCACAACAACCATCTCTTGTTTTCACGTTGCTTGGTGTTTGCTTTAAATTTGACTAACGGCTTTTTGGCTGGTTTTTTTTAATACTGTGCCATCTTAACACTCTCATTCTAAATCTATTTTTTATTATAATTTTAACTTTTTGTAAGCCACTGAGGGGCAGGATCTAAAAGAAACAAATAAAATTATCATTTAAACCACAGGACAGAAATTTAGAATTGCACTCTTACCTCATCCCACTCACTGATAGTTCTGACTATAATGCAATAATCCCTTCCTTGTTTCAAGGGAGCATTGTAGTATTTTCCATAGTAAAGTCGGTCTCCTGGGGCAAACTCCAGTGTGCCATCACCAATGGCCTGGGCTGGGAACTCAGCTGCCACATAGCTTTCTGAGTCACTGCCTTTGCTGAAGTAGGTTACATTAGTCGAAGAATAGCAATTAAAGTTGCACTGAGAGCTCCAGGGAATGACAACTGCCTGATAAGAGCTAGAAAGAGATAGAAAAGGACCAAATCGTGTCAGACATCATTACACCCAATTCCCTTCTGATGTCTGTAGGGATTCTCTTCAAACTGCTGCTATATTTAAAAGCTGTCTGTCACTGGCCACCATTGAATGATTTGTTATAAAATAAAATAAGTGAAAGCATTGGATGAAATCCTGTTGTGCAGTTATGCAAACAGCACTAACATTTGGAAGCAAACTCCTGTTAAAAACTCTCCATAAGCATTATCTGTTGCATGCTGAGTGATGCAGCTTGATTAGCATCAGGTGATATCTAGTGAGATTTCTTAGCTTCACATCAAAATGTCACGCTATTCGCATAACTGTGAAACAAAACTTCAGCCGTTATGATACCTTCAGCAATCCAAGTATAAACCTGGAGTCGTACTATATTCATACCAAAGGCTTTGTAGAACAGATGACTGGGGAACAGAAAAGGGTCCACCATCCTGTTCTCACATTGGCCAATAAGACAACCCCACAGGAAATCTGCAATCAGGACACAAACGCAATAGCACTGGGTCACTCATACTTCCCAGCAACTGTACTCTGACACTATGTATACACAACATGACTATCGGCCACTGGGAGCCTTCATGACTATGTCTAATCACCTTTTAGAACCAGCCAAATTGCTGGTTATTGCTTCTGTAAGAAAGGTACTGTCTGCATATTAGCGGCAGGCATGGAGACAGGGAGAGAGTCTGTACATGACAGGAACCTCAGGAGAAGGTAATATGTACCTATGTGTTCCACACAGAAAAACGCATCAACTCTCCCTTTCACTAACATGACCTTCTCAGGGCTTGATCACATGAGGCAAATATTCCCCACTTCTAATGATGCTTTCCATACCTCTGTTGTACTGAATGGTGGCCATGTGGTACATACACCTGGATGAACATTCTCATTTATTTTAATATTACCAATTCATTTCTTCCTATTTGAAGCATTAAAGCTGGCTACACTATGGAACGGATTTATTTTCTGTCTTGTCTTCTGGGGCAGTGCAGCCCCTTACTTTGTATTTTCCTAAAGTAAAAAATATATAAAGCCCCAACCCCATGTCTCCCTCCCTCCCTCCACTGGCAAAGGCTGGGGGTTCCCACTGCTGTCCCTGCCCCAAGCCTCACAGGGTGGGTGCACTTCTTCATGGCGGCACCTTGGTCCTGCTTGCTCTCCCTTCTCCCTGGTGGGACTGATGTTCACACATGCAATACCGGTAAGGAATGTTCTGACATGTCATTGGAACAAAATAACACAAGCTTCCCAGTGAGGGGGAAATAAACTGCAGTTACACTGCTGGCTGGGGAAATGATGTAATAATGGCCATGTGGCGTGTGATTGGAAATATATACAACAATCTAACTGGGGTATAACTAGGGAACATTTGCCTCATGTGATCAGGTCCTCAGTTGGAGTCGGGGGCAACCTGATGTAGGAACAGGAGACCTTGCATGCAGTGTTTCAATCACAGAAGCACATTTCAGATCTTGGAACAAAAACAAAATCAGCCTGCTAACCCAAATCAAGTGAACTTCTTAAATGAAACAAGCTTGTCCCCAAAGCAGTCTTTCCTTCCTTCCTTCCTTCCTTCCCGACAGTCCTTTGGTGACACAATCTCCAAAGTCTTAGAGTGCATTTCTCACTTGCCACAATGTCTAAGGACCAGCAGAACTGACACTAGAGTCACTGAAGTCGTGATAAATCCAAGCCCATCCCAGGCTAACAATGCTGGAAATTACTTTGGACAATTCTCCTCTTGGCCTAACTTTGTCCCAGTATAGTGGTCAGCTCCTGGTCTCGGATCCAGTGTAAATCCTCCTGTGTTCTGCTCCTTTCTCAGCTCTTCTGTTTGCAGGTCTTAACCAGCGGTGCAGTTCTGCTAGTAAATGCCTACTCCAGCAGATCTCTTAAAGGGAGATGGGCCAAATAGGGTCACTTAAAGTATGATGTGGTTTCCTGACCCAAAACCACCTGACCCTTTTATGTGGCTGCAAGGATCTCACCAAAATGGCATAATGTGCTTCATAGCACTTAAGCAACCATATTTAGCCTGATCCAGCCCACTTTAATTTGGCTGTTTAGCCAAGCCATCAGTATCTTTTGTTACAGTGCTATTTGAAAGAACTTGAAACAAACTCATTTGGCTGCACATAGCATTCAAAACCAAACAAAACATTAATAAAATGAAACAAGTTTAAATATTGAAGATTCTTGGGTACATAAAAACCAGCACGTAGTATTGAATTCAGATACCTTATTGGTCCATTTTTTTCTTCTGCTTTCCTAAGTCTCAGTAATGGCACAAAACCTTGTACTGAAATGAATTCTACTTTGGGAGGTTCTGGATCTGAAAAAATGAACCATACATTCTTCTTATTAATGCAGCATCTATTAATTAATTAATTAATCAATTAATTAATTAAAAATAACATCAACAAGCCCCCACCATGCACACTTTCTCTTCTTCATAAAGATATTAGAGTTCCCTAAAAACAGCAAAATCAAATCAACAGTAAGATCTAATGCAATAATAATACAGCAACAAGATAAAAAGAACCAAATACAAATGCAGCCTTAATTAAATAACACAAATATCAGTGCACCTAATCCTAAAACACTACTCTGATGGCAGAAAGTGAGGAGGAATTAAGGAACCTTGTAATGAGGGTGAAAGAGGAGAGTGCAAAAAATGGTCTGAAACTCAACATCAAAAAAACTAAGATCATGGCCACTGGTTCCATCACCTCCTGGCAAATAGAAGGGGAAGATATGGAGGTAGTGACAGATTTTACTTTCTTGGGCTCCATGATAATTACAGATGGTGACAGCAGCCATGAAATTAAAAGACGCCTTCTTCTTGGGAGGAAAGCGATGACAAACCTTGACAGCATCTTAAAAAGCAGAGACATCACCTTGCTGACAAAGGTCCGCATAGTCAAAGTTATGGTTTTTCCTGTAGTGATGTACGGAAGTGAGAGCTGGACCATAAAGAAAGCTGACCGCCGAAGAATTGATGCTTTTGAACTGTGGTGCTGGAGGAGACTCTTGAGAGTCCCCTGGACTGCAAGGAGAACAAACCTAGACATTTTGAAGGAAATCAACCCTGATTGTTCACTGGAAGGACAGATCCTGAAGCTGAGGCTCCAGTACTTTGGCCATCTCATGAGAAGAGAAGACTCTCTGGAAAAGACCCTGATGTTGGGAAAGTGTGAGGGCAAGAGGAGAAGGGGACGACAGAGGATGAGATGGTTGGACAGTGTCATCGAAGCTACCAACATGAATTTGGCCCAGCTCCGGGAGGCAGTGGAAGACAGGTTGGCCTGGCGTGATCTGGTCCATGGGGTCACGAAGAATCGGGCACGACTAAACGACAACAACAATCCTAAAACTGCAGAATAAATTAATAAAAAAACCAGGACCTAGAAAATATTTTTAAAATCTCTCTCTTCAAAAAAAGTGATATATTTTTATCTGGCAGCTAGAAATCTTGGGATTTGTTGGGATCATGGATGGATGGTGTTGTAGTCAAAATGGTCCTGGTCCTCATGGAAACTGGGTGTATATCAGAAAATGGGAGGATCCTGCCTAGAATCTCAGATGTTGAATGATAATCAAGGAGCATTAAGGACTTCCTAAAGAAATGTGTTATGCAGTCATTTTTATGTGCCACGTGCTGCAGGTCTGGTGTGCTGCATGTGCGGACACACAAATACATACCTTTGCATATTTACACAGTTACTCACTGCAATACATGTTCACTAAGGGTTTGTATACATATACACACGGACATATATATCTATGTTGGTGTCTACACATATATTTTTCAAATCAGACATGGCAGCTCTTTTAATGGGCAAGATATTTCATCAGCTTGCTGCCTCCAGTTACCTACTTAGTCAACAGTATACAGGTGGTCCAAAAGGAAGATGCTTCTTCCACCCACCCTTAGGATGGCAATTCATATTTGAGGGCAATGGGGTTCTTAGTTGATTCATTCCCCTCCCCCGCTTGTGAAAACGCCAACTAACAACTCCTCTCTTTCCCTTCTGAGAATTTATCCTGTGAAGTTCTGCCTCCACTTTTGTCACATTAAAATGAAATGTGTGTACTTGCCATGTGTCTGAAAAAAAACTGCCATAACACTAAACATTGCAGGTCAGATAGCTTACGGCACCTAACTCCACAAAAAAGCAGTTGGGCCTGGTCAGTTTGGTCCCCCAAATAAAAGAGAATGGGTAATAATATGTTTCTAAAGAAAGTGTTCATACATGTGGGACACACCAATTGATTACAACTGGAAACAACAAAAAGCAGCCAAAATGTGGCAAGCAATGAGGCACTTCCCCCAAAGTAACCATTACTCCTAACATGTTTTCCCCACTAAATATGACATTCTGGGCTATTCATGTTTAGTAAGGATACTATCAGCACAATAAATTCAGGTTTGGAGACAGCAAGTGTAAGAAGATTACTTGTCCATGAGATGCAAAAGGAAGAGAACTGATAGTGCAGCTTGTGACCCAGCCTGTGACCTGTTTTCTTCCTGGAATTGTAAAAAGTGCAGCCAGGGAGGTGGGGAGGGGGCAGAGAGAAACATCAAGCAGCTGGCAGGACACAATATGTGTCTGATGAGATTGCATTTGGCTTGGTGAGTCACTAATTGTGCAGAACTGGAATGGAGATGGATGAATAATTTAGCAGAGTATCACAGCAGGTTAGAGACGGGTGGACGAGAACAGTAGTGAACTCCTCAGCTATTTTAAATGCAAGAGTTAACCACAATTCCTGGTAAATATAATGCAAGATTATACATTAGAATAAAAAGTTGAGAGCTTAAAGATGTTTCAAATGACAGTCACACTGCACAGGTAGGGGAAGAAAGCATCACTGCAGTTAAGACTTCTAAAGGTACCACAAAAATCTGTGTTTCTTCCTAAGGGAGTGGGGTGGAAACCAACTTTGAAGATGCTGAAAGAAAATGTATCTGCTGAAGATAAACAGCTTCACCTAGTGGATGCCTATAGATGCAGGAAAAAAACAGAAAGAATATACAAAGGCCACCTTCTGGGTTGGAAGCTTACTGCATGCTTTTGCCCACAATGCGGGAGAAATAAGTAAGGTTACTGAAGATCAAGCAACAACATTCCCTCTAAGTTTTTCTCCCACTGTGCGGGAGCTCCCCTCTGTGTGCGCGGGGGTGGGAAGGGCTTCATCTGAAATGGGAAGTGAACAAACTGGCTGCTGGTTGCCCATGTGCAACCCCTATGGAGCTCTGCGTAAGCACGCACACTAACACAGCTTAGAGGGACGCTATCAGGCAACATTGCTCATTCAACAATCGCAGAGGTCTAATGGAATTAAAGCACAATGTTCCCCTTTTTCTCAGAAATTTTTCTCCTCCAATTAAAGAATAACTTCATCAATTTCAGTGTGCACGCAGTTTCATTGTGCACAAATCACACACTCTGAAATCAGAAAAATAATTCTTCAAATCAGTGGTAATTAGAGATGAAGGTATTTATATACGATCCACTCACCGATCCGCTACGGACATGGACGGCGTGATTCTACGAATGGCTCTGCAGCGTGCAATTCGCTTACCACTTCTGGCCAGAGACGGGAGGACAAACCTCACTGCAAGGTTGAGGAATGGCAAGTGGATTGCGCGCTGCAGAGCCATTCGCAGTATCGCACTGTACACATCAGATTGGTGAGTGGACTGTGCGTTAACGAGGCAATCTCTTGCAGCAATCTCTTGCTGAAAAAGATGTCATTGCCATTACGTAGGAGAAGCTATGTAACAGGACACTTGCCTCATTAACATAATAACTTTCATATCATTACTTGGGAGTTTGTAAATTTGCACACTTTTGTTGAAGTTGGGTAATATTTTTATTGCCCAACTGCAACAAAAATGTGCAAATTTACAAATTCTTCAGAACACTTCACCAAGTTCTTCTTCAGATGGTCTAAAGAATGGCACGGTAGGGGAAGAAATAAAATGTTCAAGAACTAAATTCAAAGATTAATCCCAGATAAATCCAAAAACCATTCCCAACCTAATGAATGGTACTTGAAACATGAACACTTGTGTGTTTAATTTTTGGTGGTCACCTCTACTCACCTTTGAATGACACAAGGACCATTTTGTTTTTTCTGAAATATGTGAGTCTAAATTTAGTTATTTACAAAGTAAAAAAATAATTTTAATGTAAGATGGAAAATCTTCTTAAATAGGCTTGCAAACGAAAGATACTATTTCATGTTTATGGAATTCATGCTGGCTCTGAACATGTGCTGAAAAAAGGAATGAAAGAATGACTGCATTCACACATCACAAGATGTGATTTACTGAAACTGGCTTGTTGTGATATATGAACCTACCTCTACCAAAAACATCTGGTTTGCTAGCCAGCCACAGATCACATTATGTTTGTTTCAAATTCTGAATTGTCATCAATGGTGAGCTAGAAACAGAAAATCAACGTGTCTGGAGCAACGGAAGGAAGGAAGGAAGGAAGGAAGGAAGAAAGGAAGGAAGGAAGGAAGGAAGGGACTAGAGACTGCAGGGTTCTGCACTGATCTTTCACATTTCTTTCAATCTCAGAGTAAGACTTCCACAGCCACATATGTGAATGGGACAGACACTTAAAATGTTCCTTTGGTCATCATGGCTAATCTGGTTCTTGACAAGCATTTAAAGTTCAAAATTAGCTCTCATGTTAGCTCTCATTCTACCATAGTGGACTAGGAACTCAACTGGGTTAAAATTCTATTTAACAGAAACACTGGATGCTACCTTTTATATTCTGTGCTTTGTTGCCTCAAACAATGTGATAAAACAAAAGAGGGATCACAATAGGTGGGTGGGGTCCTGGAAACAAATGTGTGAATGCAGTCTCCCTGGGGTCTCAGTCTGATCCTGAGCTCCCTCAGATGGCCACGACTCATTTCCTATGCACCCTCACTTGGTGGTTACACCCAGCTTTTGAATGGGGACTTAACCATTTTGAACAGCAGATCTGGCTTGGATATTGGCAGTAAGCACTTCACTTTTGTTTGTTTGTTCAGTCATTTAGTCGTTTAGCACTTCACAGTTAAACTGTATTAGGATTTTCCCCTCATGAGCATCTTTGAAATTAAATAATCTTGTGCTGAGAGAGGTTATTTATTAGCAAGAATGGAAAAGGTAGTACAGTATCCTCAATGGCCTCTGACTTGTCGTTATGACCTTGTTCTAATCATAATCAAGTCAAGATCTTATAGGATTTTAAGGTTTAAATGGACAGACACCTTGAGCATAATATACCAGACACAACAGTAATAGAAAAAAAGAAATAGCAGGACAACTGACATCATAATTCCAGGGGGTGCCAGAGCTGAAGATAAACAATTGGAAAAACTAACAAAATGCAAAGACCTGGCAATAGAAATAACTCACTCATGTATGAAACACAGTTCAGTTCACCGGAACACTGGAAACAATACTGAGGAATTTAATAAAATATTATAACCAGCTTCAGATCTGAAATAATACCACCAGAGCTGCAAAAAAACTGCTAATATTAGGAACCGATATTTAACTGATGCTTAGGTTTTTGGTTAAAACTTGTATATGATATATAGTATCAGTCACAGCTTTTATTATTTTGTCTGTGTTTTTGACTGTTTCATCTTTTCATATATGTTTATTTTAATAACAACAACAACACATGATGCCAGACTTACCATCAATTTCTGTTTTTGTGCTGACTACAACATTATGATCCAGGTTTATTGTGGATACATTGACACTGTAATTGCTGCCTGGAAGAAAATTAAAGCATACTTCCGGAGTCTGAGAGTCTGTGGTGAAATTAAGAATCAGTTCATGGTGGAATTGCTCCTGATACCAGCGTAGACCTTGGACATGAATCTATAAAAGTGTGCAGAAGACATATATTAAAACACTTGTAGTATTTAGTATATATCCCTAGTGAGAACACTCTGTGGGGGGAACATCTTGGAGTAAGAAAACCATAACTATACACCATGCTTTCTTTATTTGCATCAAATATCCCATATTAAATCTGCACATGCAGAAAAACAAAGTGGAAAGAAGTGGAAAAACTGAATAAAGTGTGGGTCGGGCAACCTATGTTCCTCAGCCTAATTTCAAAAGCAATCAGTTGTGGGCTGTCAAAACACTGACTTGTGAGAAAAGGGGACAGCAGAAAGAAATTGGTGCAGCCCCATCCATTGTTGACTCTCGCCCTGCCCAGACCTGGGGAAAGTGCTTTTATGGACCGTAACTTCCAGAATCCCATGGCTAGCATAGCTAACCACTACACTGGTTAGGGAGTTTAGGAGTAGTTTATCAAGCTGTGGACATGCCTATTGTCCACATATAGCCATTGATAAATTATTCCTGAGGGGGTACGGCCCTAGACAGCAAGGAAGTGCCCCACTGAGGAGTAGACTGACAGGAGGGGGAATTACCAGTTTTGAATGCTGTACCAATGCAAAATGCTCCCTTAAGACATACAACCAGCATGCTAAGGAGAAAGGTTTCAGCCAAACCCTCCCCATGTTGTACTTGTAATTGTCTGGGTTGGTGTGTTTTTTTTGGGGGGGCATTCACAAATGTGAGCTTCCATCTGCAATTGAAGTTTTTCTTCAACCATCCATTCTATCACCTCAAGACTATCTCTGCCATCCTATTCACCCCTTCTGTGCTTGGGAACACCATGACTCAGAGACCATCCTTTACCAGTGGTCCTAGGATTCACACTCTCAGGAAAGGTTAGTTTAATCCTTAAAAAGCTGTTACAGTAGGTCGTTTCCTCCCACTCTAATCCTAGCTTCATATCAGGTATATTCCAACAAGTCAAATGTTCCATCAACATGTTCCCTAACAGACCTATGACAGAATCTTAAACATTTCTATATGAGGGGATAAGCTGTCTGGCTCTTTTTTGAGATGGGCAGAGAGAGAGTGAGAGAACCTGGAAATTGAGGAAAGGAGCATGGCCATTCCTGCAATGATCGGACAACCCCTAGAGATAGAACTTTGATATAAAATTATAGATCTATTCACCTCTTTTATCTATACATGATCCACTCCTGTTCAATCTATCTCAGGTTATGTTATAACAATCCATGGAGGAGAAGCACAATGGCTTCACCACATAATAGAAATTTTATTTGCAAATCTAAATGCTAACTGGTGAAGTCTCTGAAAAGTACCTTCCAGCAGAAACAGACATTATAGATAACTCATACTTAGAGCTGAAACCACATTAGTACTGGGGTGATGAAGAGCCCTGTGGCACAGTGGTTAAACTGCAGTACTGTGACCAAGCCTCTGCTCATGACTGAGTTTAATCTCAGTTGGTTCAGGTAGTCCGCTCGAGGTTGACTCTGACTTCAGTTCTTATGAAGTTGGTAAAATGAGCACCCAGATTATGGGATGGCAAGTTGTTGTTTGCATAGGTATGTTGCAAATCACCCGGAGAATGCTGTAGCACTATGGGCTAGTATATAAGTTGAAACAGCATGTATTTAGGAGACTTTCATGTTTGAGAGGAACTCCCTCACCTAAGAGCTCAGGATCAGTTAGAAAACAAAGCAAGCTCATTTGCAAAATTTAGGAACTGAGAGAGGCTCTCATGCACACAACCTTTAATACATTTTCTCATCTAATGACAGGTTGCATGTATTAATTTGTTTCTGCCCTTTGCCTGCCAATGCTACATCTGCTATAGTTCCCAATATAGTGGTTCATTTGCCCACAGAAGCCTCAATGCTACTAACAAGTTTTAGACAAAAGTCTTAGGAGGCTTATATATATTCTGTCTTGTCCCACTATTGTTTCTTGACTTAAAAAGCTTTACATTACTCCAAATCTGGAAAAGTTGAGCATTAGAAGAGATAAAGGCACAAACATACACATCTCAGGGTATGATGTGTAGACTTTTGGTTTAGATGGGTGGGATAAAAATCCAATAAATAAATAAATGATGCTTCTCTTGCACTGCTGTCAAGAGTCTGAAATAAAATCTGTTACATGGCCTTACTTCCAGTAATTCTCATTCTTTCTCTGGTTATTCATAGCAGAGCACTGCACAATTTAAAATTATGAATGTATATGAAATGAAGGTAAAATTAAAATGTCATTTATGGTCCTAAAAAGAACTGTTGGGTTGTTTCGCTCATCAGAAGGTTTACAGTGCAACGCTTCTGGAAGTGAAGGATTGACCAGCTGCACGCCATTGCCCAGGGGGTGCCCAGGTGTATTCCTCATGCATTTCCACTCTTCCCATGGCACTTAGAAATTGTGCCTCACTTACTACATAGGTTTCTTCAGCCTGTGCTGTTCCTGATTCTCTCCACCATTTAATACAGGTGCCATTAACTAAGGTGATGTTGCTGAACTCAACTTTCTTTTCTGGAAAAAAAGGGAAGACACTTGGGGGCTAAATAGTTACGAATTATTTATCAATTCTGTATTATAGCAGTATTTTCTTAATAACAGGAGGCAGTATAACACAAAAAATTGCAAAGAAGAGGTCCACAGCAAAAATACTGACTGATTACAGTATTTTTTCTGTGTATAAAATGACACCTTTTCCTAAAATAATTAGAGGAAAAATGAGGGTCATTTTATGCACGGTAGTAAGGATGGGGGGGGGATCCAAGTGCTTTGATCCCTGCTTTCCCCCTCCACTTTCTGCAAAGAAAGTGGACAGGGAAAGCACTTTCCTCTCAAGAAAGTGGAGAGGGAAAGAAGGAATGGCTTCCCCACTCCACTTTCCTGTGAGGAAAGTGCTTTTCCCCTCCACTCTCTTTGCAAAAAGCTGCTTTCCCCTCACAAAAAGTGGAGGGGGAAAGCAGGAATCAAAGTCCTTTGAACCCTGCCTCCCCCCTCTGCTTTGTTGCAAAGAAAGAAATTTTGGGTTAGAAAAGGAGGGGGCACATCTTATACATGGGAGTGTCTTATACACGGAAAAATGCAGTAGGTCAAATCAATATTGAGAATTTAGGCACATTAACCTACTTACTGTCATAATTATTTTCAATTGTTGTGTCAACATATTGCAATGTAAACAGAAGGCACAATTGAAATAATTCCCACAGCAATTTTGATTTTAATAAACAAATTCCTCTCAGGCTCCTCCTAGTTCCTGCTTACATTCTCCATGCCCTGAAGTGAACAACTCCTCCTGTTCATATATTTAGCTCTTCTTGTTAGTAGGTTTCATAAACATTTCCCCCACAATCTTACAAGTTCTTTTGCTCTCTATTCTTTTCCAGTTACATAACCCTATTACACCTCATTTCATCAAAAGAGCCTGCTTTCTACGTTATGGTCTACATATTGATTCCTTTCCTTTAGTGACCTTGGACCTTGACCAGGTTTGACAGATTCCTCACTCCCACCCCTACTGGCATCTAGTGCTTCCAGACCTCTATATGTCTGTCTGATTTATAGGCCACCTCTCTCCTGATTCCTTACGCCTATCAGTGGGGCCTATCAACATCAAAGAATTCACCATCACATCACAATATAATCAATACTTCAAAAAATTATGATATGAAATCAGGGTTTTTTAAAGAGCACATGTATTCATGGTTCAAAACCCCATAATCTATATTTAATACAAAATAATAGCTGCAGTGTCTGTTTTCCTTAAATGGAAACCATGGTTCTTGCATAATATCATTGGTGTATTTTTCACCAGCAAATTGCTGCAAGTTAAAAAAAAAGCCAGTGTAGTTATTTCCTATTGTTCACTGAGTCGTGCATCTGGTGTGCAACTGAAAATGGCTTCTGGTCTTCCAGCAATTCATCACTGAAAGTCATGCCAATGTTATTAGGTAGCAGGCATAAACAGTAGGACTTGGGTCAATATTATAAATTTAACTGGTAACATGGCTTGCTTTGCTGTCTAAAACTATTACTTATAAGAAGTTATTAATTGGTATATTCACTGGACAGAAATAAACTGATTTAATAGCAATTTCCCCTCCCTAGAAAAATTCTAGGAAAAGCAGTCCCATGAATGAGAAGCTAAATTTCTAAGACAATTTTCAGCATCAGAGATTTCAACTTCCAGAATTCTCTGAAGAAAATGATTACAGCCAGATACTGTTGAGCCTGATAATTTGGACTACAGTTCCCTTAGTTCCCACAGCCAGTATGGCTGGTTTACTGCTTGAAGGACTGTGGGCATTGTTATCCCACCCCATATTTTTCCAAAAACAATTCTAAAAAGAAAAGAAAAAGATCATGTAGGGTTATGTAACTGAAAAAGGATGTTTCCAATGGCCACTCAATTTTAAGGAAAAGCCATGGTTTTGGTTTTTGCTTTTCAAGTAAGTAGTTACTCATATAACGTAGATCTGAACAAAGGAAAGTCAACTCCAGGATCACCTTTATGTGTACCTTTAGTTGCAACAGGCGCTGCTTCTTATGAGGTTGTTCCATATAATACAAGAGGCTTTAAAATAAAGGCCAAAAAAGAATGGTGTGTGTGTGTGTGTGTGTGTGTGTGTGTGTGTGTGTGTGTCTGTGTCTGTGTCTGTGTCTGTGTTCTGTGTTCTGTGCCATCAAGTTGGAACTGACTTACAGTGACCCTAAGACAGCATTCTAAGTAAATGAGATATTTTCGTAGTGGTTTTACCAGTTCCTAGTTCCACTCCCCCCAGTGAGTTTCCATGGCCAAATGGGGATTCAAACTCTGTTCTCCAGAGTCCTGGTCCATCACTTCATCCACTACACCACACTGGGAATCCCCCAAAATGGTAGACCCTGAGAAATCTGCTGCTATGTCTAGAACACTATCCTATTTCCCAAGAAGTAAAAACTTTCAAACCAAATTATTCGTAATCATTATCAGCATTTCCTAGAAACAGAACCTACCAACTACTGGATGTATTATTTTGAGCATTAAAATCAATCTGGCAAATCGTGCCGTGATTTCCACACTGTAATTTGTATCCTGATGTAACTGCAAACATACATTTACGGTCTCTTCTCTTGCAGGAGGGTTAATCAATATATCTGTAGTTGTATTTGATTCGCTCCCTAGCATCCTCATACTAAGCTGTAAGGGAAATAAAAAAGGGAAGTCAACTCTCAGGAAAAAAAACTTCAGGGCACATCTATGATAAATCAATTCCAAGTTTGAAGACTGTAGTTCCACAAGGGGGGACTACGTGATCCTTAAATGGAAACTTTACCACATGGACTCCCAAGATTCTTATAGCAGAAACATATTGTGAGGACGAACTATGCATTACTGCAAATACAACAGAACAATTAAAATGACATTGGTATTCCAGATATGTAATTCTAGCAAACCTTTGTGTTCCTAATGAAGCTTTCATAACTTAAGGAATTCTCCCCTTCAAATGATGTGCTATCTCAAACTCATATCTTGCCCTCAATTAAACCCATTCTTCAAAAAGAATGCATGGATGCCCCCTCACACATATGCACACACCCCAAAATGGCACACACATGCCCCACTGATGCCCCTCGCATGAGTGCAAATGCTCCCCATGCATGCAAGCCCCCACCCCCCATGCAGATGTACTCTTGCATGGATACACACACACGCCCCCCACAAAGATGCACGCCCCCCATATGCACAGATGGACGCACCCCCCTGCAAAGATGGATGCCCCCGCATGCAGACACAATGCCCCCTGCATGCAAGCCTCCCTGCCCCCCATGCACACATAGGCATACTCCTACACGCGTACAGGCATGCACAGATGCCACCCACCCACCCCTGCACGCACACTAAACCGGTCCGTTGTGTCAAAACTGTTGGGGACCACTGGTCTACAAGATACCGTCTTTTACTCACTACCATTCCCACACTGAAAAACAGCCCTGACAATTGCTTTGTGTTTGCTGAGAAGTGGTTAAGTGGCGAAAAAAGGTGTCAGCTTCCGGGATTTCGCCTTGCACGGTGTCACTTTGAGAATGGTAGTGGTGCTGGGGGACTCCTGTTCAACACCTTGACCATTAGTCTGTGGAGTGTCTCAGGGTTCCACGATTCTGTATACTATTTCACATATATATGGAAAACCTGAAAGAGGCTGTCCAGAATTTTGTGGTCTGGTACCACCAAGTGTGCTGATGATACCCAATTCCATCTGCTTTTTAAGATCTTCCAGGAGGCCCTTTTCTCAGTTCCCCTGGCCCCAGTGTGTGGTCACCCAGCCCCCATCCAACCATTCCCTGCCAATTTCACTCTAAAATCTACAGTACTCTCTCTTAGACAGTTGAAATTCTACTAGTAAAAATAACCATACAATCATTATGTGTTTTCTGTTTCATCAATTTAAAAATTCAGTGTGAAAAACAGTATTCTTATATGAACACCAAATCTATTGAGTCAAATATTTTGACTCCAGCTTCCAGAATCCCCACAGAGCACAGCCAATGGTAGAGAATTATAGGTACAGTGGACTCTCGACTTACAGACGGCTCGACTTACAGACTTTTCGAGTTACAGACTTCTCTGGCTGCAAAATTTAGATTCGACTTGCAGCCAGAGAATCGACTTACAGACCAGAAAAAAACCAAAATGGAATAAAAATAGAATAAAAACCACTGGTTATGGGATTAATCGGTTTTCAGTGCATTGTAGGTCAATGGAGATTCGACTTACAGACTTTTCGACTTGCAGCCACCATTCCAATACGGATTAATTCCTTAAGTAGAGGGTCCACTGTACAGTATTATAACTACGATACACACGCAGAGTCAAAAGCCTCACACTCCTGAACTAATAAAAATAATATTAATCTCTGTCCCAAGGACATACATGGCCATGAAAGATCTCATAACTTATTGAAACACAACATTTCTAAGGATATTTCAAGTCACATGATCACTGGGAAGAAGTCATTGATGGATAAGCCAAAGAAAGATGAATATCTGCTTATGGGTATCCTTGCGAAACATAACAAGTATTCATAACCCGGTCTCTGGCACCTCTAGTAGCCAGTTCTGGTAATACATGTGAAAATAGTTTCTTCTTGGATTTTTTCTTTGAATATTTTTAATACTTTCAGACTGTGCATAAGTAAAACAACGGATACTGATCCCATGGATATGTGTGTCCTACTATATTTTTAAAAATATCTTCTTAAATATTTTCACAGGCAGAAACTGAAAATGTGTGACCAGGAAGGACTTAAAATGCTTTTTTCCACAGTGAAGGCAATGGCAGGGTTAAAAATAACAGACTTACACCAGCCCCATATTAGCTGCCAGGCTGACTCCAGACATATTCTGTCTGATCAGAATGCTAAGCTATGTAAATACCTCAGTCCTGAAGGATCTTGTCAAGTTATTTAAAAAGTATCTTTTTCCATCTGGGGCATACACAACTCTTGCACAATGAGGCTGATTGCTGATGAGCCATGTATCAGGACAGAAAAATAACTCTTCAATTACCAGCAACTCTCCTTCCAGACAATGTTATCTTAGCATATGCTACATAGCAGGATTTTTGGTCCATATGTTTTCTGACTAAAATTCCCAAAATCAGTTGCAACTGGTCATGTTAGGATGAGCTGATGGGAACTGTAGACTCAAACATCTGGAAAGCCTAAGATTCCTCATCTATAGTTTAGAGAAATCATTAGACAGACTCGATGTAGGAATAAAACAGTCCAAGACATTAAACCTGCATTAGAGATAGGCAGACTTGAGTTACTTTCCATAGTAGCTGTGATCAATGATTGAATGAGACACAAATGTTCCCCCAAAAGAATCCATTGCAGTCTGTTGGATTGAACCACATAAAACAAACTGTGGTCACTCAAATTCCTGCCATGTTTTACAATAAATGGTAGCTTTTATACCATATTTTTGGTAGACATCTCCATAATTTCTTATCCACATTAACCACTTGTTCAGTTCCCACCCTAGTAGAAAGTTAAGAAACTTTTGTCTTTCAATTACAAAAGATATAACTTGTCTCACATACTTGATATGTTTCATTTATTCCTGCACTTCCATAACGCCTCCTCCATGTCAAACAAGACTCATTCAATGCAACATCAGCAAACTCTTCCACTTCTGGAAAAAAAAACACCATCCCAATTAATTTAACAAGTGGATCCATTTCATAGCTGCTTTCCTGTTCTTATCTTATTTCTATTACAGGAACTCTTGTTGGGCGAATACAAATTAAAATCTTGTGTTCTCAAATATTACACTTGGGTACTACAGATTCCAAAATCCCTTCACCAGCACAGTCAAGTGTTAAATTTGTTTTAGTATCCTGTTTCCAATCTCTGCTCCATATTATCATGCATATGTTAACTGCACGGAAACTGCTCTGGAAAGGAGGTCATCACCTTTAGGTTAGAATCACCTACCACAGGGATTACCTCCCTGATGCCATCAAAAACTTGCCATTGTTTTCCTGGCTGCATGGCCAGGGATTGGAAATCCAGTTACCCACTATGCCTCCTGGAAAAAGAACCAGCCTGCACAGTCGCAAGACACCCCTAGAAGAAGGGAATGAACCACTTCTGAGTACTCTATACCTAGGAAAAGCTGGCAAGGATCACTGTAAGTCAGAAGTGACTTGACGACACACCATTAGGATGCTGAAATAGTTTGAAGACCTACTGCTATCCTACTAAGGACATCAAGTTCAAACACATTTTGTGAATAGGAAGAACTCGTAGTAAACAGCAAAATATTTTTGTACACACATAGATCTAGCCTCTGCCTGTTCTCCCCCAACCCCACCCAGAGCTTCCCTATTATTCTTGGAGCAGACCGATAGATTTGAGTGTAGAAAGCATTAATTTGCTCTGTACAGTCACTGAAACTGGAAATCCTGCATCCTGAGGCTTTTTGTATCCATATAGGTCTCTTGAATGGGACACATCATCACAGCTTCTAGCATCAGCCATATTTATCACAGCCCCGCCGTTCACACTGACTGTACCCATTCATCCACCTTGCTTTCAGTCAGCACGACTGCATTAGTCACATGCATGCTGTTTAATGAAGAAGGCCACTGGATGTCACTGTTGTTCTGTTAAAACTACAGAGCTCAACCTTACGAGTAAGTACCATAAGAAACATCAACCAAGAAGAAGCTGTGAGACCTTGAAACATTTATTAAAACGTAAGTTTTCATGGACTAGAGCCAACTATTCCTATCTGAAAGCTGAACTGAGGAGGAGGAGGGTCACTGGTAGAAAGAACATCAGGCGCTTGAGATGGTATTGTGAGAAAGACTCAGGAAGTCAGACAGAGAAAAAGAACTGGGGACAAAAGAAACAAGAAAGCGGAAGGAGCACAGGGAAATGGGGCAGTACTGGTGGTAGGCGCAAGGTACAAAAAGAAAAAAGAAAAAGGAAAAACAGAAATGGAAGGAGTGAAGTGGAACAGGGGCAGCCATAGATAAAGGAAGGAAGGAAGGAAGGCGAATGTGTCCAGTGTCCAAGTTCTCATATTCCCGTACTTAACCATGCAATCCTATATGTGATGACTCATTTAGCCCATTAGGCTAATAGAACTTAGTCCTAGATAAGGATGTATTGGATTGCAACCTTAAACTCACAAAGTATCCTGGCTACTTGTTATTAAACACACACACACACACAGAGAGAGAGAGAGAGAGAGAGAGAGAGA